CCCCCTTCCACCTCCCCAGACAGAGACAGCAGGAATGGATACCAACATCTCCTGCATCCCTAAGGGAGATATATTAGCTGGTTGCGTAATAAAACTAACAGCACGGCGCTTTTCCAAGGGCTACCGCGCCGACAAAGCCCTTCCCCTTTAATACCACCGGAGATTACAGCAAATCGAAGAAGAGTGGAAACAAGGAGAGGGGCTGCGGGTGAGGTTTTGCACAGAGGAAAATGCTGCAGCCTCTCTCTCTCTCTCTCTCTCCCCTTAATGCACTCTAAATCCCATCTGATTTCCAACTCTGCTGCTAAAAAAAAAAAAAAAAAAAGGGAGTCAATACAATATTGTCACTGACTACAGTAGGCTATCAACCAAGAAAGAAAGAAAGAAAGAAAGGGGGGGGGTGAGAAAAAAAAGCCCAGCCTGCATTAAAATGATATTAATGCTGGGTGAGTGAGGTGGAGTGACTCAGGAAGGGTGTGGAGGAGGAGAGCTGTTGAGGGGAAGCATCCAGAGGAATCCAGACCATGAAAGCATTTTGGAAGGAGACCAAAAGGAGCCAGGGGTGCAGATCTGCTAAAGGGCGCTAACGTGCTTTTACAAATCTGATTAGTTGCTGGTTTTGAGCATCCAGGGTCAGATCTTTCCCTCGATAAACACCCCATCACTTATCCTCCCCCCTCACCCCCCCTTCACGCCGGGCTGCCGGCAAAGTGTAACGCAACACAACCTTACTCTTCCCTCTCAATATCAGCCAGCTCCGAGGACAGGGTTTTCACTTCATTTCTGCTCCCTCTTCAGGCTGGCTGACTCCACAGCAGGAGACATCAAGTCAAACGCCCCGAGGAAAACTACTTTTCCCTCCACTGCCCCGTTTTTGCCGCCAACTAAACGTTGACATTTGAAAAGGCATTCCCCACACTGTGAGGATATCGATGGAAGCCCAACTCGAGGTCTCATCTAACCAGATTTCTACTTTACGTGCAAAAGTGATAAGGCAAGAAGTCATCCCTCTGCCACCTTTGGAGTCCAAACAGCCCTCCATCCTCAAGGCGACATTTCTTTGCAGCCTTTTTGAGCTTCTTTTGACACACCTCCTTCCATTTCACTCTGCCACCTTTGGAGTCCAAATAGCCCCCCATCCTCGAGGCAACATTTCTTTGCAGCCTTTTTGAGCTTATTTTGACACACCTCCTTCCATTTAATTGATATAACCCATGAGAGAACATGGAAAGCGCGGTAAAGGCATCAGGCAGAAGTAGAGCGCAAATGGAGGTGGGGGATGAGCACCAACTGGAGATATTCATACCTTCCAGTATTGTCTTTTGAACCAGATCCTATGAACTTACTACCAGATTAGTCTGAATAACTGCAAAAGTCACCAGATGTGGCAGAAGAGGCATCCAGAGAACAAGGGGAGAAACGCTACAAAAGATCCCTAGGACTGAGCGACGGACTACGGTGGCAAGAGGGAAAGTCAAGCAGGAGGCAAACACCCCGAGGCTGAGTGCCAACCTGGAGGTGCCACCCAAGCAGAAAAGCGACAGTTGCTCAAGAGCAGCCACCAAAGCACACAAAAAAAAGCCTCGGGAAAGGAAGGAAAAGAGTGGGTAATAAAATGATGGTCGTAATCTCTGCCACTTGTCTGTGAAGCGTTTTGGAGATGAGTTTATCGTGGCGCTGATTGGTTGTGTTAGTTGGCCAAGGCTGGTCCTCCCTGTACAGATATAGAGAATTGCCACCCAAAACTAAGGCTCAATAACAAGTTGGCAGAAGGAGGAAAAAGAGCAGAGCCACCAGCACCAATGGCAGGAAACAACAGGATAGTGCTACCATTTTATTCTGGGCTTTTAAGTCACAACCTAATTAGTGACAACCCGCAGCGAGGCAGAACTATTTTACAAGAGAAAAACTGGACATTTCAAGTGAAAGAGAGGGAAAAAAAAAAACACAACCCTAGCTAAGAGCAAAGACAAAAAAACCCCAAAACAGACAAAGTAAAAGCTTGCCATCAGCCTTACCATTGGCATCTTGGACTCCGGTAAGTGCTCCTACTGCTGCTGCGGTTTCACCAGATAGGACAATTTGTCCTCCACCTTGAAGAGTGGCTTCAGCGAGCGTGGCTACTGCGTGGGCAGCTGCTTCACTGCGGGCACAGAGAAGGAGAAATAAGAATTAGGAAGATCAAAAAAACAAATAACTCCGGTAGCATCCATTTTAACCAGGCAACATACGTCAAGAGAACAAATCCAGCAAGGAGGGATTCTTCTTACTGGGCCCAGATGGAGTTATCCAAAGCTGCTTCCACTGGGTTCTTTCCAGCTTGGAGATCTCTTAGTCAGAACATCTCTGCCTTCTTACCTTCACCTTCTTTTTCTTGGGACTACTACAGCTTTCACAGAACGATAGGGGGTTGGGAGGAACCTCTGGAGACCATCCAGTCCAGAGCAGGGTCACCCAGAGCAGGTCCCACAGGAACGTGTCCAGGTGGGGTTTGAATGTCTCCAGAGATGGAGACTCCACCACCTCTCTGGGCAGCCTCTTCCAAGGCTCTGCCACCCTCTCCACAAACAAGTTTCTCCTCATGGTGAGATGGAACTTATTATGTTCAAGTTTGTGCCCGTTCCCTCTTGTCCTGTCCCTGGGCACCACTGAAAGAAGACTGGCCCCATCCTCCTGACTCCCACCCTTGAAGGATTTAGAGGTGTTAACCAGACTCCCCCTCAGCCTTCTCTTCTCCAGAGGATGCTCCCTGCCCCTCAGTCTTCTCCAGACTCAGCCTCTCCTCATCTGACAGATGCTCCAGGCCCCTCATCATCTTTGTAGCCCTCTGCTGTCCCCTCTCCAGCAGTTCCCTGTCCTTCTGGAACTGGGGAGCCCAGAACTGGTCCCAGTGCTCCAGCTGGGGCCTCCCCGGGGCAAAGCAGAGGGGGAGGATGACCTCCTTCACAAGGGCACATTTCAGGCAATCCGAGTACTTAATACCACGTGGCTCCTTCCTGCCTTTGGTCAGGCAATCTGAGTAGTTAATACCACGTGGCTCCTTCCTGCCTTTGGTTTCTGGTACAAACCACATTCTTTTGGCACTGTCACACTCTGAGTCTCTGCAGATTTTAGAGCTTTCCCCTTCATTACTGATTCCACCAGGCCCAGAGGTTTACCATTACCAGCATCACATCACCATCTCCACATTTAGCCAAGACGCAGTTCTCCTTCCCGGCCAAGTGGTTTAATAATTCTTTTTAACGAGGGTTTCTGGTACAAACCACATTCTTTTGGCACTGTCACACTCTGAGTCTCTGCAGATTTTAGAGCTTTCCCCTTCATTACTGATTCCACCAGGCCCAGAGGTTTACCATTACCAGCAGCTCCACATTTAGCCAAGACACAGTTCTCCTTCCCAGCCAAGTGGTTTAATAATTCTTTTTAACGAGTGATGGGCAGCTTAGCACACTGTTCTTAAATTTCCTCATACAAATGAGGTCAGACCAAAGGTCCTTCTCATGCAGCTGTGAGCACAGCCAGTATCAGGTATTTAGGAAGGAGCGTGCCTGTTCCTTCCCTCCCTACACCCTCTCAGCTTCCGATAGTCGGCAGCGTATCGATTTCCTACCTCAGAGACTGCAGCCTGGACCATCAGGTTGGATTTGCCTAATCCCCTTTGAAACCCATTTAGACTTTTTGCTTCCACAACATCCTGTAGCAATGAGTTCCACATTTAATTAGATGCTGCGTGAAGAAGAACTGCACTCTGGTTCTCCGACAACTGCTGCTCAGTCTGGCTGGGCAGCCCTTAAGCCTGATATTGTGAGAACCAGAAAAATCACTGCTCCCTTTTCCTTTTCCTCATGATTTCATAGACTTCCAGTCACCTCCCTCCCGGGCTACAGAGCCACAGTCCACTTACTGTGCAAGGACTCTTCCTGGCTTCTGATCGCTCTCGTACTTCCCAGACTCTTTTTTCTGGGCATCTCTTTGAGTGGGGTGACAATTTCTCACACTGTCCGAGCCGTAGACACACCGTGAGGTAGCCCAGGGGCCAAATTCCTGCTTGTTCTCTGTGCCTCTCGCTGCCTGGGGCTGGCTGGGCAGCCCTTAAGCCTGATATTGTGAGAACCAGAAAAATCACTGCTCCCTTTTCCTTTTCCTCATGATTTCATAGACTTCCAGTCACCTCCCTCCCGGGCTACAGAGCCACAGTCCACTTACTCTTCCTGGCTTCTGATCGCTCTCGTACTTCCCAGACTCTTTTTTCTGGGCATCTCTTTGAGTGGGGTGACAATTTCTCACACTGTCCGAGCCGTAGACACACCGTGAGGTAGCCCAGGGGCCAAATTCCTGCTTGTTCTCTGTGCCTCTCCCTGTAATTCCTAATATTCAGCTCATTCTTCTCAGAATATCTGCTCAACAGTGAGAAAACATTCCTGGAGGACAGTCCCCTGAACGCTTTCTGAATGGTAATGGGTAGCATATCGTTAGTACCTCATTGGGTATATGCAGGAGATATTTCTTCCTATGTTTATCCCTTCACATTTATGGACAATCACATTTTATTTACTAATTAGTTGCACACAGTGCAGTGAGCACCCTTGAGCAGCTGCCCAGATTTCTCCAGACCATTTGGACAACTAGTAACTACTTCTGGTGACCTACTGCTGGTGACAAAATTACTCCAAAGCCACCTCTTTCCTGCAGCTGAATCCCCTACGTGAATTAAATTGAATGAATTAATGAATTACATAAATCTCCTTAATGAATTAAAAAAGTGGGTATTTTCTTTAGCATGTCCCGTGGAAAAGAGATGGAAGGAGCCATCTAGGAAGCTTCCTCTAGGATGCTTTTTCTTAACTGCTCATCTGATTCTGTGGTAAATCAATGGACTCAAATATTTTCCAAGCACTTCCTATTCATTCATTCACTTTCCTAATTTCCTGCCTGGATGCTGTACACTTCCCAACCGTACCCACTCAGGGTGTATTCTCACTTCTGAACAGCCCCCCTGCCTCTCAGAGCAGCTCTTAAACCCTGTTCATGGACAAGAGTATTTTCTTTTTCTGCTTTTCCATCCCCTTTAGCTAATCATGAGTGGTGTCCCCCAGGGCTCAGTATTGGGGCTGGTTCTCTTTAACATCTTCATCAATGACCTGGATGAGGGGATGGAGTGCACCCTCAGTAAGTTTACAGATGACACCAAGTTGGGTGGGAGCATTGACCTGCTGGAGGGTAGAATGGCTTTGCAGAGGGATCTGGACAGGCTGGATGGATGGGCTGAGACCAACGGGATGAGGTTCAACAAGGCCAAGTGCCAGGCCCTGAACTTGGGTCACACCAACCCCCTGCAGCGCTCCAGGCTGGGGGCAAAGTGGCTGGAGCTGCCTGGCAGAGAAGGACCTGGGGGTGTTGGTGGACACCGGCTGAACAGGAGCCAGCAGTGTGCCCAGGTGGCCAAGAAGGCCAACAGCATCCTGGCCTGTGTCAGGAACAGCGTGGTGAGTAGGACTCGGGAGGTGATCATCCCCCTGTACTGGGCACTGGTGAGGCCCCACCTCAAGGGCTGGGTCCAGTTTTGGGCCCCTCACCACAAAAAAGACATTGAGATGCTGGAGCGTGTCCAGAGAAGGGCAATGCAGCTGGTGAGGGGTCGACACATGGTTTAGTGACGGTTTTTTATCAGAGTTAGGTTGATGGTTGGACTAGATGAACTTAAAGGTCCCTTCCAACCTAGACAAGTCTATGATTCTATGATTCTAATCCCTCTTCTGAACCTGCAGCTCTGTGAAGGCTGTTATACTACAGGAAAGCCAACTCCAGTGCAGCAAACCCGGGGTAAGCGTCGATTTACTGGTGTAACCCTGTTTCCCAGACTTCATATAGCACTTATTCGAATCCACTTTCAAGGCCAATTGAGCATTTTCATAATTTGTTACGGTTGCATCCCTGAAAATAATAATGATCTGCAGCATAAAAGCTTTTTGCAGTCACAGGGTGCTCCACAAACTTTAATCGGTTCGAATCGATGAATTAATTACCCACTTCTACTTTGTCCTCTTTTACTAGAAGGCTTAATACTTCCCATCTTCAAACCTGACAGAGGTTGCGTCATCCGTCACGTCGTGCTGTTGGCAGATGAACTGCTCTATGTGGGACTATGAAAGTAGCCATCAGAATAAGATTCAGAGAAGGCAGCTTTCAGCTAAATTAGGCGTAAAGTTTCCAGAGCTGGGATAAGCCACCGGCTTTCAAGGACCAGAATCTTGCTGAGATCTTTCTACAGGCAGGGGAAAGACCGCACTCCTACAGCTGAAAGCTCCAAGGAGCATTTGTGGCAAAGAAAAAGCTGGAAGGGTGTCAGAGGACACTCACCCGGAAAAGTCTCCAGCTCTACCATGGTCATTAGAACACAAGGGTCTACTGTCATCCCAAGAAGGTGACAACAAGCTGGGAAATAAAACATGAGGCCCTTCATTCCAACTGCAACGCCGCTACAGTCTTCACATCACAGAATGACAGAGTAACAGGGATTGGAAGGGACCTCTGGAGATCACCTAGTCCAACCCCCTGCCAGAACAAGGTCATCCAGAGCAGGTCCCACAAGAACATGTCTAGGCAGGGTTTGAATGTCTCCAGAGAAGGAGACTCCACCATCTCTCTGGGCAGCCTCTGCCAGGGCTCTGCCACCCTCACACCAAACAAGTTCCTCCTCGTGTTTAGATGGAACTTCTTAAGTCCCAGTTTGTGCCCATTACCTCTTGTCCTGTCCCTGGGCACCACTGAAAAAAGCCTGACCCCATCCTTCTGACACCCACCCTTGAAGTATTTATAGGCGTTGATCGGATCCCCCCTCAGATGCTCTTCTCCAGACTAAAAAGACCCAAGTCCCTCAGCCTTTCCTCACCAGAGAGATGTTCTAGGCTCCTCAGCATCTTCATAGTCCTTTTCTGCACCCTCTCCAGCAGTTCCCTGTCCTTCTTGAACCAGGGAGCCCAGAAGTGGACACAGTGCTCCAGATTGCTCCTGAACTACAAGCTGTTTGAACAGACTTTCCTGGGTATAAACAGAGCTGTTCCTGCCCTGAGGCGCAGAAGAGACTAAATGTCTTGTTGAGGGCTCTTCCTTTCATATTTTCTAGAAAATACTCTTTAATTCTAACAACATTTGCTTTTATTGAAGATTCTGAATTTCCTGAGCTAATGGAAGAAAAGGAACTGCTCACTGCGACTTTAAGAGCTAAAACTAGTAGAGATGGGATGAAATTAAAATCAAAACGCCCACTGATGTTCTACTCCAGAAAAACTTCTAGAAAAAAAAAACAACACCACAGAAAAACGTATTGCCTGGAAGCGTGCAGGATACAAATCCTGCAAGATGGATTCCAGGAGACAAGGCTTTTTCCTGTAACTCCATGCCTACTTACTTTAACTGTTCTTCTTACAGTATCCTAAAAAGATGACTTGTTTTAAAAAGGCAATTTTATACTGAAACTATTAGCAAAAAATCCTACTTAACCAACAGCCTACTTAACCAACCTTGTATGGCAGCAGGAAAGGACACAACTGATGGACCTGAATCACAGAATGGTTTGGGTTGAAAGGGACCTCAAAGACCATCCAGTTCCAACCCCCTGCCCTGGGCAGGGACACCTCCCACCAGACCAGGTTGCTCAAAACCCCATCCAGCCTGGCCTTGAACCCCTCCAGGGATGAGGCATTCAGATCTTCTCTGGACAACCTGTTCCAGTGTCTCACCACCCTCACAGCAAACAAGTTCTTCCCCACATCTCAGCTCCATCTCCCCACTTTCAGTGTCAAACTCTTCCCCCTCCTCCTAGGGCTCCCCTCCCTCATCAAGAGTCCCTCCCCATCTCTCCTGGAGCCCCTTGAGGGACTGGAAGGGGCTCTAAGGTCTCCCTGGAGCCTTCTCTTCTCCAGGGTGAACCCCCCCTACTCTCTCAGCCTGTCCTCGCAGCTGAGGGGCTCCAGTCCTCACAATATCTCCATGGCCTCCTCTGGACCACGAAGAAAAGAAACAGTTCTAGGTGTGTTCATGAATCAGTTGCAACAGGAATTTGGAAGCGAGATGCTGAATGCCCCCAAGATCAAGGTGACTGCTGGAGTAATTTCTGTATATAACAAGGTCTTGGAGCTTTACTCCGGCCTTCTGGCAGTGAGGAACCATGCCTTGTCCTAACCCATGGCTGCCCCCTCATCGGCCTCTAGAGCAGAATCCTGATTTGGATGAGGAAAATATTTTGTCTACACCTTGGCAGTGTGAAGCCTCCCATGCTGCTGGGGGTGATGCCTTGTTTCCTACGGTCCCTCCTGCTCTCTCAGGGTGCAGCTGTGGTGTCCCACAGCCATTTCCAGTTTTTAAGAGCAGCAGACAAAGCTTAAGCAACTCACCAGAGCTGAGCAAAGACCTGCTACTCTCTCAGCCTGTCCTCGCAGCTGAGGGGCTCCAGTCCTCACAATATCTCCATGGCCTCCTCTGGACCACGAAGAAAAGAAACAGTTCTAGGTGTGTTCATGAATCAGTTGCAACAGGAATTTGGAAGCGAGATGCTGAATGCCCCCAAGATCAAGGTGACTGCTGGAGTAATTTCTGTATATAACAAGGTCTTGGAGCTTTACTCTGACCTTCTGTCAGTGAGGACCTGTGCCTTGTCCTAACCCATGGCTGCCCCCTCAACAGCCTTTAGACCAGAATCCTGATTTGGATGAGGAAAATATTTTGTCTACACCTTGGCAGTGTGAAGCCTCCCATGCTGCTGGGGGTGATGCCTTGTTTCCTACGGTCCCTCCTGCTCTCTCAGGGTGCAGCTGTGGTGTCCCACAGCCATTTCCACTTATTAAGAGCAGCAGACAAAGCTTAAGCAACTCACCAGAGCTGAGCAAAGACCTGCTGCATGGACCTGTGGAGAACTACACTGTAGATCTTGGTAACCTAATTACAACCAAAAATCTAACAGAGTTTGTTCCAAGATGAAGAGGCAGCATTAATATTGCAGGTTGTTCACCTTCTACTTCAGAAACACATTTGGGAAAAGCCCTCGAAACACTGGCTTCTGGAGATTGTATGGCCACAGAACAGGGAAATTCAGCCTTAGCCTTTTAGTAAGAAACCATTAATAATATCAAGGGAGACCCAGACCAGCAGACTTAAAAGGTGCTATTAGCACATCATGACCCTCACTTGCTTAGCAAGCTCAATTCTGTTCAAATAAGATCGTTTAGAGGGTACAGTTACTACCCATCTTTTCCTTTTTCAAGAATTTTCCATGTCAGTGTTCTTCTGTGGTCACAGTGGAAATCAGGAACTGCCCTGTGGACACCTGGACGTGGTCTGAAATAGGGATTTGCTGAGATAAAGCCTCTACTGGGACTGTACACAGTGGTTTTTGCACCATCAGAGTGAAAACCTCATCTGTGCATGCTTCAAGCCTTCATCTCTCCCCTGTACCTGTTGAGTGCCATGGTAACAGTTGCTCCTTGTTGCATCTCCTGAGATGCTGCCACCGCTGCTTCCGCTAACGATGCCACCGCCTGCGTGGCCTCGGATGCCTGCGTCGTCTGGATAGTCATCTCACCCCCCTGTAGCGTTGCCCAGTTCTGCTCCACCTACAGGGAAAAACAAAAAAGAAAGGCTCAAGGATAGGGTGTTATCCCATGAATGCACATTTGCACGAAATGCAAAGGAAAAAGCAAGATAGTTCCAAGAATCCTTGCAGAACTGCAAGGATTTGCGGAATCCTACACGTGCTCTGGCTCTGAGAGACAGGGAAAAAGAAGGAGGAAGCCTGGGATCCACCTGAGAACACTGCTGGACCCTACAAAGCCACAAGTGAGTTTCTCTATAGTCAGCCTGCAATTAAAAAAAAAACAACACCACAGAAAAACGTATTGCCTGGAAGCGTGCAGGATACAAATCCTGCAAGATGGATTCCAGGAGACAAGGCTTTTTCCTGTAACTCCATGCCTACTTACTTTAACTGTTCTTCTTACAGTATCCTAAAAAGATGACTTGTTTTAAAAAGGCAATTTTATACTGAAACTATTAGCAAAAAATCCTACTTAACCAACAGCCTACTTAACCAACCTTGTATGGCAGCAGGAAAGGACACAACTGATGGACCTGAATCACAGAATGGTTTGGGTTGAAAGGGACCTCAAAGACCATCCAGTTCCAACCCCCTGCCCTGGGCAGGGACACCTCCCACCAGACCAGGTTGCTCAAAACCCCATCCAGCCTGGCCTTGAACCCCTCCAGGGATGAGGCATTCAGATCTTCTCTGGACAACCTGTTCCAGTGTCTCACCACCCTCACAGCAAACAAGTTCTTCCCCACATCTCAGCTCCATCTCCCCACTTTCAGTGTCAAACTCTTCCCCCTCCTCCTAGGGCTCCCCTCCCTCATCCAGAGTCCCTCCCCATCTCTCCTGGAGCCCCTTGAGGGACTGGAAGGGACTCTAAGATCTCCCTGGAGCCTTCTCTTCTCCAGGGTGAACCCCCCCCAACTCTCTTAGCCTGTCCTCGCAGCTGAGGGGCTCCAATCCTCACAACATCTCCATGGCCTCCTCTGGACCACAAAGAAAAGAAACAGTTCTAGGTGTGTTCGTGAATCAGTTGCAACAGGAATTTAGAAGCAAGATGCTGAATGCCCCCAAGATCAAGGTGACTGCTGGAGTAATTTCTGTATATAACAAGGTCTTGGAGCTTTACTCTGACCTTCTGGCAGTGAGGACCTGTGCCTTGTCCTAACCCATGGCTGCCCCCTCAACAGCCTTTAGACCAGAATCCTGATTTGGATGAGGAAAATATTTTGTCTACACCTTGGCAGTGTGAAGCCTCCCATGCTGCTGGGGGTGATGCCTTGTTTCCTACGGTCCCTCCTGCTCTCTCAGGGTGCAGCTGTGGTGTCCCACAGCCATTTCCAGTTTTTAAGAGCAGCAGACAAAGCTTAAGCAACTCACCAGAGCTGAGCAAAGACCTGCTGCATGGACCTGTGGAGAACTACACTGTAGATCTTGGTAACCTAATTACAACCAAAAATCTAACAGAGTTTGTTCCAAGATGAAGAGGCAGCATTAATATTGCAGGTTGTTCACCTTCTACTTCAGAAACACATTTGGGAAAAGCCCTCGAAACACTGGCTTCTGGAGATTGTATGGCCACAGAACAGGGAAATTCAGCCTTAGCCTTTTAGTAAGAAACCATTAATAATATCAAGGGAGACCCAGACCAGCAGACTTAAAAGGTGCTATTAGCACATCATGACCCTCACTTGCTTAGCAAGCTCAATTCTGCACAAATAAGATTGTTTGGAGGGTACAGTGACTACCCATCTTTTCCTCTTTCAAGAATTTTCCATGTCAGTGTTCTTCTGTGGTCACAGTGGAAATCAGGAACTGCCCTACGGACACCTGGACGTGGTCTGACATAGGGATTTGCTGAGGAAAAGCCTCTACTGGGACTGTACACAGTGGTTTTTGCACCATCAGAGTGAAAACCGTGGACACCTGGACGTGGTCTGAAATAGGGATTTGCTGAGATAAAGCCTCTACTGGGACTGTACACAGTGGTTTTTGCACCATCAGAGTGAAAACCTCATCTGTGCATGCTTCAAGCCTTCATCTCTCCCCTGTACCTGTTGAGTGCCATGGTAACAGTTGCTCCTTGTTGCATCTCCTGAGATGCTGCCACCGCTGCTTCCGCTAACGATGCCACCGCCTGCGTGGCCTCGGATGCCTGCGTCGTCTGGATAGTCATCTCACCCCCCTGTAGCGTTGCCCAGTTCTGCTCCACCTACAGGGAAAAACAAAAAAGAAAGGCTCAAGGATAGGGTGTTATCCCATGAATGCACATTTGCACGAAATGCAAAGGAAAAAGCAAGATAGTTCCAAGAATCCTTGCAGAACTGCAAGGATTTGCGGAATCCTACACGTGCTCTGGCTCTGAGAGACAGGGAAAAAGAAGGAGGAAGCCTGGGATCCACCTGAGAACACTGCTGGACCCTACAAAGCCACAAGTGAGTTTCTCTATAGTCAGCCTGCAATTATAGTTGCTGTTCTCCATATGTTTAATCTTCAAATAAGAACTTTAGCTTTCTCTCACACATGAGAAGTGCACCCCAAACACCTGTGAAGACACTCAACCTCCCACAAATCCCTCTCATCCAGCCACATCCACAATAAAACAAGCCAGCATTGATGGTTGCCATACTCAGATCACTGCTAGCCACCCTGGGCAGTTTATTAAGTAGCTCATTTCTGTGGTGCTGGAACCCTAAAGTGGATCATGTCCCCCAGGGAAACAGCCTGTGCCTGCCTTGCTGTTCCTATTTGTCTGCATCCATCCAATGTCATTTTGGGGAACAGCCGTGTTCCCCAAATCATTGAGGATTTATTTGTCCAGCACTTGTGACCTCGGATGGGTTTGAGCCAACTGGAACTTCTTTGTGCTGCAGCAAAATACTTAACAAAAGATGGCAGCAGATGGAAAGTTCTGTGTTCATATATTTCAGGTACTTTTAATTTCCTTACTTCAGACCTAATATGAAGCCTACCTACATAAAAAGTTCATTTAGTTTCATAGAATCACAGAACTGACCAGCTTGGAAGGGACTTTCAGATCATTGAGTCCAACCATCAATCTAACACTGAAAAAAACCATCACTAACCCATGTCTCTCAGCACCACGTCCACCTGGCTTTTAAATACCTCCAGGGATGGTGACCCCACCACTGCCCTGGGCAGCTTCTTCCAAGGCTTGACAACCCTTTCAGTGTAATAAGTTTTCCTAATATCCATCCTAAACCTCCCCTGGCACAACTTGAGGCCCTTTCCTCTTGTCCTAAGTTGTCCTTCAGTTGTTCATTTTCCACCTCCTCACCCACATTTCTCCATTTGGGACTTCACAGCTCATGAGATAAGGAGTGCTTTTGGGCAAGAAAAGGGTTAGTCCCATCAAAGGATGGAGGGGGGGGGCAGAGAGAGAAGGTGTCACTGTGACATCCAGTGTCCCGCAAAGATGCCTGAGCTTTTTCAGGACAGGGATGGAGTAAGGCCTGGAAAAGAAGGAAGGATTGGTCCAGGCATCCCCAGCAGTGTGGCCAGCAGGGCAAGGCTGGGGATTCTGCTCCTCTGCTCCACTCTGGGGAGACCCCCACCCCCGGGTGCTGCCTCCAGCTCTGGGGCCACCAACATCAGAAGGACATGGACCTGTTGGAGCGGGGCCAGAGGAGGCCACGGAGATGCTGGGAGGGCTGGAGCCCCTCTGCTGGGAGGGGGGGCTGAGAGAGTTGGGGGGGTTCAGCCTGGAGAAGAGAAGGCTCCAGGAAGACCTTGGAGCCCCTTCCAGTCCCTCAAGGGGCTCCAGGAGAGATGGGGAGGGACTCTTGAAGAGGGAGGGGAGCCCTAGGAGAAGGAGGAAGGGTTTGACCCTGAAAGAGGGGAGCTGGAGCTGAGATGTGGGGAAGAACTTGTTTAGTGGGCGGGTGGATAGAGCCTGGCCCAGGTTGGCCAGAGAAGCTGGGGCTGCCCCATCCCTGGAGGGGGTCAAGGGCAGGTTGGAGGGGGCTTGGAACAACCTGTTCTGGTGGGAGGTGTCCCTGCCCAGGGCAGGGGGTGGCACTAGATGATCTTTAAGGTCCCTTCCAACCCAAACCATTCTATGATTCTATGAGGCAAGTTTGCTTTTCTGTATTTTGTCCAAGATACTCCTTAGATGTTCTGACCACATTAGGAATTAGACAACTGTGTTCCCTTCCTTTCTATTTGTGCCTTTGAAAAATTTTTTTTCCGACCTCAACAGAAACAGATGGTTCTTGAAAACCCTCAAAGCAGCTCCGAAGTAATTCAAGGTCACGGCCATGGGCTGTTTCCCCCTGGGTCTGAGATGGGAATGGGGTTTGGTGGAGATCTAAGCTGTTCTGTGCTGCCACCTGTCGCTGCCACAGCCCCATCCAGGCAGAGGGGACCAGACCCTGTCCCTCCTGCACACAGAAATTCCTGCACACAAAGGGGGCAGAAAGTGCCCTGCAGCCTGGTTTAAAGGTGGTTTGGGGAGTGAAAAGGGTAAAAAAAAACCCCAAAAATAATGTTAAAAATTTTTTCAAAATCTTTAAGGAACGTTCCTTAAACACGCACACAAAAAACATGTTCTTAATCAAAAAAGAAAGGTGGAAAAATAACTGCATGTACGTTTGGGTGTTCAGATGTTGGGATTGAAATGGTCTGGATCAAACCCTCGACAGAAACAACTCTGCAAAGTTGTAAAGAAACTTTGACAGTAAATGGCACAGTAACTCCACCGTGTCTCCTGTTGTCCCTGCACCCCTGTGTATTTATACTGCTCCCCCAGGGATTTACCTCCAAACCTCCCTAAAAGCTGCAGCAAAGGAACAGCCCCATTTTGTCCATAGATCGGTGGCCAAAGAAACACAGGATTTTGCCCAAACCCTGGGATATTCTTTGCAAACCACAGGCTTGAAATATCCCAGGCATTGCTCCAAGCCCTGAACTGACAAACCAGCACCCAGGATCTACAGCACAGTAGAGAAACAGTTGCTCAATATGGGTACATTAACGTGTATTTGCATAGGTCATCAAGCCTTTATCTGCTACAGCAGACCTCACAAAATAAATAATCTATAGAAGATATTAAAAAAATATCCACCATAATTGCTTTTTTTTTTTTTTAAATAGAATTGCCCAGGCCGGAAGGGACCTCCAAAGGTCATCTAGTCCGACCTCCCCGCAGTCAGCAGGGACACCCCCAACTAGACCAGGTTGCCCAGGGCCTCGTCGAGCCTCTCCTTGAATATCTCCAGGGAAGGGGCCTCAACCACCTCCCTGGGCAACCTGTTCCAGTGCTCCACCACCCTCACAGTGAAGAACCCTCTCCTCATCTCCAGTCTAAATCTGTTCCCCTCCAGCTTGAAGCCATTGCCCCTCGTCCTGTCACTGCAGGCCTTTCTAAACAGGTTCTCCCCAGCCTTCCTGTAGGCTCCCTTCAGGTACTGGAAGGCTGCTATTAGGTCTCCCCGGAGCCTCCTCTTCTCCAGGCTGAACAACCCCAGCTCCCTCAGCCTGTCCTCGTAGCAGAGGTGCTCCATCCCCCGATCATCCTCATGGCCTTCCTCTGGACCCTCTCCATCAGGTCCATGTCCTTATATTGAGGGCTCCAGACCTGCACACAATACTCACCTGCACAAATACATTTGTCCAGTCCTGAATCAAAATGACAACAGTTCAGCACCTTCTAAAGTTCTTTTTAAACTGAGAGGGGAGATGAAAACTGCACAAATACATTTGTCCAGTCCTGAATCAAAATGACAACAGTTCAGCACCTTCTAAAGTTCTTTTTAAACTGAGAGGGGAGATGGAGATGAGATCTCAAGGAGAAATTATTTGCTGTGAGGGTGGTGAGAGAAGATGAGATCTCAAGGAGAAACTCTTTGCTGTTGAGGGTGGTGAGAGCCTGGCCCAGGTTGGCCAGAGAAGCTGGGGCTGCCCCATCCCTGGAGGGGTTCAAGGGCAGGTTGGAGGGGGCTTGGAGCAACCTGGTCTGGTGGGAGGTGTCCCTGCCCAGGGCAGGGGGTTGGAACTGGATGGTCTTTGAGGTCCCTTCCAACTCAAACCATTCCATGATTCTATGACAGGGCAATTCTGGTTTTCTTACCTCTCCATCAGTCACTGCAGAATAATTGACTTGTGCGACGGTAACTGTGGTGGGCAACTCTGAGGCATCGGCCAGCGTGGCAACCGTAGCACCAGTGCCAACCTACAAAAGGCAACAGAAAACGCAGTTGAACACACTTGTTATTGCTGGAAAAAGTCCACAGGATTCAGACAAAGGGACACTCAAACACTCTCAGATTAAAAAGCCTCGCACCCACAGGGAATAACAGTAATTGTAGAGCTCACAGAAAATACGGAGTAGTGTTGAAGGGCTGGAGGAGGGAATCACATGCTACAGACACGTTAATCTATGGGACCTTCTAGATTGGACATGGTCCAGAAGGAAGTTCTGCATGGCCCTCATTCTGTCCCCTATGTTCACATAGGGGACAGAGTCCTCTCTGTCCTCCCAGCTTCACAAAGAGGACCTGAGGGACACCAGTGCCATTCCCAGGTGTGAGCGTGGTGCGCAGGTGGAGCGAAAAGGTTTCTCCCATGGGGTGGAAGTCACTTAAAAAGCCACCGAGTACTCCTGGATCACAACATGCTGCACATCAGTCCTCATTTATAATGTTCCTTCCTTACCATTCACTTGGTTTCTTGTCTCTAGGCACTTTGCTGTGAGGGTGGTGAGAGCCTGGCCCAGTGAAGCTGTGGCTGCCCCATCCCTGGAGGGCTTCAAGGGCAGGTTGGAGGGGGCTTGGAGCAACCTGGGCTGGTGGGAGGTGTCCCTGCCCAGGGCAGGGGGTGGGACTGGATGGTCTTTAAGGGTCCCTTCAACCCAAACCAGTCTGTGATTCTATGATTCTATGATCCCAGTGCCACCACAGGCATTTTGTGGCCACAGGATGAATTGTATTTGTTTGTAAATGGGTTTCATGAAATCCAGGTCAGATTCCTGAATGGCTTGACCAAATAACTGCAGAAATGCTTCTGCTGCCATAACAGGAGAAAACAAAGGATGGACTGAGGAAGAGAGAAGATGAGATGGCTTCTTTGGGTGGGAGAACTGGGTTAACAAGCCTTGGGATGGGAGTGGGGAAGAGAGAAGATGAGACGGCTTGTTTGGGTGGGAGAACTGGGTTAACAAGCCTTCAGGCTAAGACATACAGATAAAGACAAAATTCTTGAAGGACAAGTTAAGCCACCAAAAGGAGTTTGCTCTAAACTGACATGGGCAACTGGATCCCGAGTCAGCCGTGCTGGAAATGCAAAGCCCAGGGGAGGTTTCCACTCACCTGGATGAGGGACACGGTGCCGTCAGGGTTGCTGAAGGTCTGTACCACTGTCTGTGAGGGCACGAGGTGCGCTATACTGTGTGTGGTCGTCGTCTGCTGCTGTGTCTGTTGATCCTCAAACGCGTAGAGCAGGTCTTCGCGCCCGTGCTGCTTGTAGCAGTTCTTCACGATAGTCCGCAACGCTTGGGTCCACGACACCTACCAGCAAAATATAAAAAAAACCAGTCAAAAGTCAACATAAAAGTTTTCGAAAAAAAAACCCAAAACAAACCAGTCAAAAGTCAACATAAAAGTTTTATGTACTGCTGCAGTGCAGCTACTGCTGCGATCTACGTGCCTATCTTTACTGGGATTTATTGGGCGGTTTTCAACAAAATCTCAAATGAACCAAAGGCCCCAAGATCTAATCTCTCTCTCCTTATCGTCCCCCTTTCCCCAAGACCAGGAAAACCACTCTGGAGAGCTACTGCATTGCTGTGTACCGACACAATGAGCACATCTGGCCAAGGGAAAGGGAAGCTTCTCAATGAGATCCGTTTCGTCAGCTTTCGAGGAATTCTAAGGGATTTGGGGAAGACAAGTAGAAAACCATCTCTGCCCAGGAATGCACCATTTCCAGCCTCCAATGGTGCCAGAGCACCATTTCCAACCTCCCTGGACATCCATCCAACCAGATCTACATCAGCCTCCATGATTCCTGCCGCTTGCACACCCTGGAACTTTCTCTGATTATCTGTGACAGGTTGGTAGAAACATCACCAGCACTCAGGATCCATGGCCAGAACTGATACCCAAGACCTTTTCACTGAGTTCTCTCATTTTTTTCCTGGCCTCATTGCATATCCTTGACTGCTTCTCTTTGACTGCTCAGGGTGGGACAGCATCCCTTCAAAATGCTCAAGATGCCATGATACAGACTCTACGGTAAAGGACCTGCACACTTGAAGAGTAGAATTGTCTTAGGCTTGGGGAGGCTGCTTCATAAGGCCACAGAAGCAGGCAGGTTCTGCAGGTAGCCAAAAGGGCACCAGGGCTGAAATACCTTCTCATCTCACAACCCCAGCAGGGACAGATCAGATTGAAGGCTACACCTCTCATCACTCTCCCAGGCTGAACATCTGACACCCTGGTGAGGCTGCATCTAGAGCACTGTGTCCAGTTCTGGGCTCCCTGGTTCAAGAAGGACAGGGAACTGGTGGAGAGGGGACAGCAAAGAGCTACAAAGATGATGAGGGGAATTCTCTCTGGTGAGGAAAGGCTGAGGGACTTGGGTCTTTTTAATCTGGAGAAGAGAAGGCTGAGGGGGGATCTGATTAACACCTACATATCCTTCAAGGGTGGGTGTCAGGAGGATGGAGCCAGGCTTTTTCCAGTGGTGCCCAGGGACAGGACAAGAGGAAACAGGCACAAACTGGAACATGGGAAGTTCTATCTAAACATGAGGAAGAACTTGTTTGCTGTGAGGGTGGCAGAGCCCTGGAAGAGGCTGCCCAGAGAGGTGGGAGGTGGTGGAGTCTCCTTCTCCAGAGACATTCCAACCCCCCTGGACACGTTCCTGTGGGACCCGCTCTGGGTGACCCTGCTCTAGCAGGGGGTTGGACTAGATGATCTCCAGAGGTCCCTGCCACCCCATATTATTCTGTGATTCTGTGAAGTCAAGGAAGAGCCTACATCATAGTTTGTTCTGTCACTCAAGGGGAAAACTATTCCCACAAGAACTGGTTGCAAGCCCCCATGCTCAATTCAAAGACAGACAGACAGACATGGGAGATACACACCCGCTGCTTCTGCTCCTCTGTGCGGACATCACTGCGAACGTTGGCCCATGGAATGTCCTCAGGCCACCAGATGGGCTTGCAGCTTTCCTTGCCCCAGCCTGGTTTCCCACGACCCGTGGAATACTTCAGCATCTCGGGGATGAAAGCTCTCAGCTGTGCCTGGAACAAAACACATCAGAGGGTTGAGAGATTGGGTTTTTTTTAGGAACTCATATCTCTGGTAGCTTTGAGGTGCACAGTACAGAGTTATTACGTTTAACTCCCATCCTGTTGGAACCATCAACTGGAAGAGGCCTCAATGCCTAAGGAAAATGGAAAAATACTTTCACCATCTTCTCCCAAGACTCAGCTGAGAAGAGCTTAGCACCATGTGGAAGAGCAGAAATGAAATTAAGTCAGCAAATTACAACAGTAAGGCACAAGCACAGGCTGTATTGACACACTTCATGGTTCAAACGCTACCATGAAGAGAGATAGCCAACCTGAAAGGGAGACAAAAAAAAGAATATTAAAATCAGAAAAACACAGAGAAAACCCAGACTCGGTGTCCCCACAGCGACAGGAACTCAGACGTGAGCTGACGTATGTTTCACACAGATGCTGCAAAGAGGATGGAGCTTCAGTGAGATGCTCAAATGTAAAAAAACAGTCTCACACACACGCTTTTCCACCCCTGCGGAACATAACACACACTGGATTAATTTTCTCAATCTATTTTTAATTTTTGGAGAGTAAGGACACCTTTCAACCCGCTTTTGCTTCTCCTTAGCACCCACAGAAACTGGTCAACCAGTGACCACCTTTACCATGAGGAGACAATACCTTAAAAAGAGATGTGCAAAGCAAATCGAACAGACGCGTCACCAAGAGCAAGTAACAGCCTCAGTGTTATCAAAGGGAATACAAAACTCACACGGGGTTTTATGACACATTTGGTTTTTGTACCAGGCACTGCCCGGAGCCTCAGGAAAAGGTTCAGCTGCAGAAACAGAGCAGGAAGAGAAGCAGAGCTCACGAGCACATATGTTGGACAAAACCATGTTGACTTACAGTTAAATAGTTGGATTTAATAACACCTCCCCGCACCCTTTCGTAGCTTTAAGAGCAAGTTATTTGAGGTTGTGACAGTGCCACTGAGAGTCCTTGGGCCATCTTACAACTCTGAGATGTCTACACATTGAGGAAGAGTGTGCTGGGACCAACATTGGTTTCTGCCACAGCAAGGACACAGTCCTGCTCGTGGAGGACGTCTCACCCATCCCTGATCTTCTGCCATAAGAGTGTTCCTTCCTCCCAGCCACAATCCTGCTTGAATGAACGACATCCTGGTTCCAGTCTGGATCCTCTGGCTCCAAGCTGTAAATCAACTCATTTACAAGCTGCCTTTAGCCCAAAACACACCACTAAATGTGCCGGGATCTGCAGTGGCTTTTTTGGACACAAGACTCACATACCGTGGGTCCAAGCTTACACAGTGAAACAGAAAGCTGGAAGGTGTATAGTGGGTCCAAGCTTACACAGTGAAACAGAAAAACTGAAGTGTGTTTTGGTAAAAAGAAAACTATTTCTTTATATGCATGATTTACTACATCTCATGCAGTTTGCAGCAGTGGGTAGGGACTTTAAAGGCAATAAAAATCTAATATATTTGTGTGTCCATATATAGTGTATCTGCTGCCCACCCTAGAAGAACCAACTGTGATCAGAGAAGCAGCTGTATTTCAGTTCCTCCACTCCACGGACGCCCTGAGCCACCTCAGAGAAGCCGTATCAAACCCCTGAATTATAAAGGGAGGCACAAAAAACCACTTTGGTGCCTTTTTTCCCCATCCCTGTGCACGATGCACCTTCCACTGCAGGGCCAACAGCCTCCCTGCCACGCTTCAGGTTCCCCAGGTGAGACCCCATTTATTCATATACACCTGCTGAGGGCATTGAGGTGCAAAAACAGTTAAAAACTCCTTTCCAGAATTGCTATCTGCAAGCTCTGCTCCTTGTTACCAGCTGGATTAATTACTGGTCCCAGGGAGTTCAGCGGCTCGAGGCACTCGTTAAGGAGGGTTTGCCTTGAATCCACCAGGGAGACAATCAGCAGCAGCGTCACAACCTGCTCCAGCGCGAGGACTTCTCTAATTAGTGCCGTAACGAGACCTCACCCGGGCAGCTCAGAGGGCTCTGACACAGGCTACGGCACCGAGACAAAGACCCTGCATCTCTTGGGGTGCTGCTGGAAGGACCCACTTCATCCGTGGGAGCCACAATTTCTGTTGGCTCCGTCCACGAACCACCCGAAAATCAACCTCTGCTAAAAAAACCCCACAATTTGGGTGTTTTTTTGCTCTAATTTGCACCGTTCCCAGGTCTGGAAAGGGCTCTCATCATCTCTAGCATGGAGGGTTTGAGAGAAACTGTGACAAATGTTTCTTTGACACCCTTTGGGTACACAGACAGAGCGTCTTCTAAGTTTTAACATCAAACTTAAGTAGTAGTGAGCTAATTGCAACGGCCCAAAGCACAGAAAGTGGTTTCTACAAGGGAGCAAAACCCGTGCTGGGAATTTTCTACCTGTCCCCACAGCTCAGCTGTAGGATCTCCAAAAAGCAGCACCTGGGAAAAGCAAAATCAAGTCCACGCAGGACCTCAAAGTGGGAGAAGGCAAAGCAGCAACTGCAGCAAAGCACCCAGGTATTTTGTTCGCTGGCCCTTCTTCTTGCCACAGCCAATTTTAGACTAAACGTTCTTCGTGTTCAAAAGTTCCAATTAATGTTTAAACACTCAGATTAAAAAGCCAGGCATCTGTCAAGGCAGCCACCAGGCTGTCACCATGAGTTTCCTGCTATGAAAACCCAACATGGCCCTGCCCGAACTCTGCGAGGTCTCGCTGCCGGGTGGTTTCTGGCAGGATGGATGAGAGCAGGGTTTGCTGCTCTCCTAAATCCACCACGGTAAAGTCAAGGCATAGGGTCAGCCTAGGTGTCTTCAACAAGAAGTGACAGCACTCGGCAGATTCACAGTAAAGTCAAGGCATAGGGTCAGCTGGGTGCCTTCAACAAGAAGTGACAGCACTCGGCAGATACGGTAGTTTATGCCCAGTTTATGTCCCTGCTCATGGCAGGGGAGTTGGAACTCAATGATCTTTAAGGTCCCTTCCAACCCAAACCACTCTATGAATCCAACCCAACATTAACCACTTGGTCATCAGGAGGTGCTGTGGGTCTCCCCATGGAAGCATCTGCTCACAGATTTACTCTTTATACAAATCCTTCTTCTCTTCCACCCTTAAACCACGCTCAAGGTGTAAGAATAAATGAGTAGTTCTCATGTTTTGGAGAGGCACATCAGGCAACCAGCCTGTCCCTCTTGGGATCACCATCTTCTAGCAGAGTTTGGAGATCTGAGTGCTAGACACAACTATTTGTTCTTTCACAAAGGCACAGAATCACATGGGGTTGGAAGGGACCTCTGGAGATCATCCAGTCCAACCCCGCTGCCAAAGCAGGTCCACCCAGAGCAGGTTGCACAGGAACGTGTCCAGGCGGGTTTGGAATGTCTCCAGAAGGAGACTCCACCACCTCTCTGGGCAGCCTCTGCCAGGCCTCTGCCACCCTCCCATCAAACAAGTTCCTCCTCATGTTTAAGTGGAACTTCTTAATTCAAGTTTGTGCCCATTTCCTCTTGCCCTGTCACAAGGCATGAAGCAGGCTCCGAGATTAATGCTGTAAAAGCAGGCATTATATAAAAAAGTATACACTCATCCCTGCATCCAGCACCTTGGAAGACTCACCACCCTTCCCACTGCTGGAAGAACCATCCCTTTGATAGAGCTCAGCTGAATGGGGGACTCAATTCCTAACCCTGGGTTCCCTCCACCGCACAAGAAGGATGCTCCCTCTGCCACACGCCAACGACCTGCTGGGAGAGCAGAAACACAGGTTGTCCCCATACCACACCTCTGACAGACCAGAAGGGAGCACCAGCACACTTTGTATCTGGACAATGGGGTCCAGCACCACAGGATCATCCCTACCCCTCCATGGAGGGGATCCAACCACCACAAACTGAGTTTAGTCACCGTTTTGCAGCGCTTGGCTTCTCCTCCATCCAAACTGTCACGAGCATAGAGATATCTGCTGCTTGTGCTAAAGCTTCTAGCAGGGCAGTATGCAACCACACATCAATCACAGAATGGTTTGGGTTGGAAGGGACCTTAAAGATCATCCAGTTCCAACCCAGACACCTCCCATCAGACCAGGTTGCTCCAAGCCACCTCCAACCTGGCCTTGAACCCCTCCAGGGATGGGGCAGCCACAGCTTCTCTGGCCAACCTGGGTCAGGTTCAACACCCTCATAGTGAAAAATTTCTTCCTAATTTCTCATCTAAATTTCCCCTCTTCCAGTTTGAAGTCATTACCCCTCATCCTATCACTACATGCCCTTGTAAAAAGTCCCTCCCCACCTTTCCTGGAGTCCACAGTCCCTTTAGGAACTGGAGGGGGCTCTAAGGTCTCCTCTAAGTCTTCTCCAGGCTGAAAAACCCCAACTCTTTCAGCCTGTCAAGATGATTTTTGAGAGGCCTGGATAAACTTTGTTGGCTTGTGTAAGCAGGCTGCAAATCATGAAGTTTAAAAACCATCAGATTAAAAGGACAAATCACCTGTTCAGCAAAGTCTAAACAAATTCTAGTGACCTCAGTGGGAGTGGACTGAAGCATCGACCTCAGCCTTACCCAACTTTACTCCTTAATCACATCAGAGAGCAACTGAGAACGAGTTCAGGGGCAAACTCAGCTCTGAGGGAGAGTGTCCACGTAGCTGAAATCCAGAAAGCAAGGAGATTTCTCTGTGTCATGGCCGTGGGGTAAAAGCCCCACTGAAATACGGGTTTTTTTTTCTGCACGGCCGAGGTGGGTGATGCTCTCCATGAGCAAGTTTACAGAAGCATCTTTGCCCGGGCTGGTAAAGGCTTTATTTCCCTCAAGACCACCAGGGAAGCAGAGCAATTAAGAGGAGAGTTATTTTCATCTCCTCGTTGAGGAGCTCACGCCTCCACCACCTGCCTGCTGACACCTGCAGCTGCTGAACGCACGGGCCTCGTTTTTCCACTCCCCGTCACACACCTCTTAATTGCAGCTGCCCAAGTTATATTTATAAATATTTCGGTTTTCCATAGGGCTTAGTGCAACTTTAGTTGAAAAAGCTCGTTTCTTGTTAACGAATGCAAATAACTACATTGGCAGTGCTGGGAATCAAGGTTCCTACAGAAAAATGATGGCACCTCCAGCAGTGCGGTAGGTTGAAGCGATGCAGGCTCAGAGTTACCATCCACTCTCTCCAACAAATGTATTCCAAATCACAATTGTGGCCAAAAAAAAACCCCCACCCAAGCCAGCATGGTGTCCTCATTGCATTCAGCATCTCGGTGCTTTGTTTCTATTTAAAGTTTGCCCCCAAATTTGGCAAAACCTCTAGAGCAGCTGGATGCTTTCAGCAACGAAACCATCTCCCGAGCACCACATGCAGCATCCTACTCTTTGAAACTTTTCCAAGACAGGCAGACCTACTGGGTTGTGAAAATCCACCCAGGAGTTGCAGTCTTGTCCTTTAAATCTGGTGCTCTGTCCCCAGGTGGCCTTGCAAGTCATTCAAAGACCTCAAAAAAATTTTTTTAAGACATTTATAAAACGTCATCCCTGTACGATGTGTGGGGAAACCGAGGCAGCACTGCGTGCCCACAACACGGGCACACACCACAGTGGCTGGGCTAACTGGGACAGTGATGGTTAGCCAAATGGGGCACAAAGAGCATGGACACTCTCCACAGATCAGGAGAAACCTTCACAAAGCTGTTTCGAGTTACCACATTGCACTAAAATAGGGTTACTCCTAATAAGATACTTGTTTTACCATTACACACCATGAGAGAACTTGGAATAAGAGGCTCTACGTTGCTACGCTCTTGCATCAGCTGTTTACATGCTTGATCATAGACCAGTTTGGGTTGGAAGGGACTTTAAAGATCATTGAGTCCCACCTCCCTGCCCTGGGCAGGGACACCTCCCACCACACCACGTTGCTCCAAGCCCCCTCCAACCTGCCCTTGAACCCCTCCAGGGATGGGGCAGCCACAGCTTCTCTGGCCAACCTGGGCCAGGCTCTCACCACCCTCACAGCAAACAAGTTCTTCCCCACATCCCATCCCCATCTCCCTTCTTTCAGAGTCAAACCCTTCCCCCTCCTCTTATGGCTCCCCTCCCTCATCAAGAGTTCCCCCCCCAGCTTTCCTTTGAGGGACTGGAAGGGGCTCCAAGGTCTCCCTGGAGCCTTCTCCAGGCTGAACCCCCCCAACTCTCTCAGCCCCCCCTCCCAGCAGAGGGGCTCCAGCCCTCCCAGCATCTCCGGGGCCTCCTCTGGCCCCGCTCCAACAGCTCCATGTCTCTCCTATGCTGAGGAGATGATGACCAAAGGTCCTGCAGAACAACGAGAATAAAAACCATTTCTCATCTAACAGAGGCACAAGGAGCCTGAGAACACAGAAGTGTTATATGTGGGATGGGGAAAAAAGTCCCTGCCAGTAGCAAGTGCCTCAGACCGGGGAGCTGCTTCACACGTGGAAATGGAGAGTGATCAAACCCCAAGGCAACTTGGCTTGGCCAAATCTTTGTGCGAGGTTTCCTGAAGAGCAAAGCCATGTCATGTTTGGAAGAAAAAAAAAACCTACCACCTTATTTTTAGCTTACCATGAAAAGTATTAGTATTTTATCCACAGAACTCTATGGATATGAGTATTTCATCCATAAAATAGAACGAGGAAACACTTCAAGCAACCTTTGATGTTAAAATATTTAATTTCCAGCTCTATCCCAAACAATAAACAATATGCATTGTAAATCCAGCCGAAGGCTTCTCTGAAGTAAGAGCTTGTCATTTTTACTGTTGCTTTGATGGCACGTGCAGCGTTAACAGCCAAAGGGTTGACAGATCTTTTTATTGGCCCTTTTTTTACGTGCACACACTCTGCGCGCTGCAAATCAGAAAAGGTTCTCAGATGTGTTACTGGATTGCAATGACCTCACATCCTGATTTCATTCACCCACACTCATTTCCCCTTCTCTCTCTCTCTCCCTCTCCCATTTCTTTCCACCAGCAACGCCTCGTTTGCTTTGTTCCTTCCTCCAAGCCCACGTGCTGGGGGTATGAGCCCCTCCAGCTTCATCACTTGCACTGCGCTACGATGGTCTTCCTCTGCCCGAGGAAGTCTCCTACTTCTCTTGCTGCTACTCGACTTAATTAGAATCATAGAATCGTCAAGGTTGGAAGAGACCCTTGGGATCATCGAGTCCAACCATCTCCCCTACTCTACAAAGTCATCCCCTACACCATGTCCCTTAGCACTGCATCTAAACGGCCCTTAAACACAGCCAGGGATGGTGACTCCACCACCTCCCTGAGCAGCCTGTTCCAATGCCCTATCACTCTTTCAGTGAAAAATTCTTTCATAATGTTCAATCTAAACCTACCCTGTTGGAGCTTACTACAACAATGAGGCTATAAAGAATTCGGATAAACACAAGCATTTTGTTTGCCAGTACAAATGATCTCAGAGCTACGTACCTGTCATCTTTTTGTGCCTCTCATTTTACCTCAAAAGCAAAATGTTTCTGTTTTTTACTTTCCCTTTTCCATGGGAAACTGGTAATGACACAAACCAGAGGCTGCCTGTGACCAGCTCTTGCAGACACCACCTTTCACAGTGGCTTAAAAATCTACCAAGTTTTGCCTTACGTTGTCATGGATTAGGAATACAATCTGTTATCAGCACAGCAGATTTCTCTGCAAAATTTTATTAGAAGTGTGAGCTTGTCTGATTCCACTTAAGTAATGGAAATGGTGTTTGGACCAGAATGTGATCTTTCTGCTGAGCGTGGAGGAAATCCACACATCTTTGCTCTACTACAACACCTCTTTGCAGGTTGCCCAAAGCCTCTGACCTTTCCATCGCGCTACTCCCTCTGAAGAAACTGGCTTTCAGCATTTAGAATTTGTTGAGGTGCATCAGGCTGAGTGTACCCACAGCCTCCTGCAAGACCAACCTACCCAAATTCAGGTCCTGCACCCCAGGAGAAGGAGATTTGCCTACAGATGATCCCTCCCACACCAAGGAAGCTTCCCTGGGGTGTTCTCTCCACTTCCTTCTAGCAATGAGGAGGTCAGCAAAAGGCTGGACCTGGAGAGAAAGAGTCCCCCACGTTCCTGGCTCCAGCAGAATTATTTCACTCAGGGTCTGACCTGGAGTTAAACCATCAGCAAGTCCCAATCTGCTCCAGCAGAAAAACAGAGGAGGGAGCAAACTAGAGCACACAAGGAGGATAAGCCAAAAGAGTACCCCCACAAGCCACCTTCCTGACCTCAGTGCCTAAAAATTACTGCGAAGCACAGGACAAATAGCCACCCTGTTCATAGTTTATGGGAGGTGACAAAAACACCTCTAAGGGGACTGCTCCCAGCAGCCTGAGCTCTACTCCTTACCAGCATCATCTAGAAAATAGGCCCCAATAACAAAGTGTCACATCTAACTACTATCTGAGCTGTTACAGTCCCAGGGGAGAGAAAACATCAAATGCCTCCCCCCTGGAGACGTAGACACGAGCTCCACTGCACAATAACAGGATGTGACTGCAAGATGCCAGATCCCTCTCTGGTTCTGCCATCTCTGGCTGCTTACCTGGGTCATCTTGTCCACCGAGACGGGAATGCCATCGATGGTGAGGGGTGGCAACTCTGAGTTAACCTCCTGGGTTGCAGGAGCGTGCTCCGCTAGCGCGGACTCCAGGTCTTCCAGGATCATGCTCTTGTACTTGCGTACCTGTGGGGAATCGTTAAGCTCAGGTAAACAAGGTGAGGAGCACCAGGAGAAGGGAGGGCCAGGAGGAAGGGCAGCCACCTTCCCCAAGGCGCCGCAGAACAGAAGGAGCAAACAACGCCACAGATGGCAAGAAAAAAATACCCACTGCCCCCGAAGACTTGGCCACATCGAGGAGCTGATGATGAAACATCAAGTAAGACTGGCAAATGGAAGTATGTACAGGATTAAAAGAAAAGTTCTGAAGCAAGACTTATCATGGGCAGGATCTGTTCTCCATTTACTGTCTGGTCTGCAAGCATTGACAGCTGAGCTGAGTTCAAACCTGTCACTACCTGCTCCCTCTGATTTCAAACCCAGAATATTCAACCCTGGTGAGATGTGCTGGGCAACGATAGGACCTCAGTGTCACCTCATGTTCATACCCTCTCTGCTTCTCTTTCCAAGGTTTTAAACACGACCCTCAGATCCCTACCAGGCTTGCAAGACTGCCTGGAGAGAAGGTGAGCAATTTATTATGTAGCTTCTCCCCAAGAAAACCTACCACGTTCTCCAAGGGCGCAGCACCGAATACTTTAAAGACGGGGTTGGGTTTGGAGGGCGAGATGCAGAGGACGATGGCCTGCTGCCCCACTCTGGTGGTGTACTCATCCAGCGTGGCTCGGAGCTTCCTGAAACAGAGACAGAAACCACTGAATTGGCATGGGCTGAAAGCCCAGTAGAAACACAAGCCCTCGCATTGTGACAACTCCCTTTATGAACGCAGCTCATTCACAAACCAGGTGAGAAACGGAGCCCCAGCTGGTCAGATCAGCCACGTCTGCTGCTCCTTCCTCCGCTCCCGCAGGCCTGCTGTGCTCCCTGCAGTCACCCAGCAGCTCAAATATCAATTATTCTCCCTCCCTTCCTTCCTTTATCCATGGATCTCAAAAGTAGAGAAATCACCAGTGCAGCAAAACTGGGACAGCAAGAGTCTGCGCATCCGCTCTGCCACCATCTAAGTGTGTTAGCGATACAAAACTTGTGAGAGCGTAGAGAACTTGTAAAGAACTTGAATGATTCACCTCCCTTACCAGGAGAGGCTCAAGGAGCTGGGACTCTTTAGCCTGAACAAGCGAAGACTGAGAGGAGACCTTATTTATGTTTATAAGTATCTAAAGGGTGAGTTGAAGGATGTTGGAGCCGGACTCTTTTCAGTGGTTTCCAGTGACAGGACAAGGGGCAACGGGCTCAAGCTGGAACATAGAAAGTTCCATTCAAATATGAGAAAAATCTTCTTTACAGTGAGGGTGATGGAGCCCTGGAACAGGCTGCCCAGGGGGGTCGTGGAGTCCCCTTCTCTGGAGATCTTCAAGCCCCACCTGGATGCAGTCCTGAGTAATGTGCTCTAGGCGTTCCTGCTTTAGCAGGGGAGCTGGACCAGATGATCTCTAGAGGTCCCTTCCAACTCTGACAATTCCGTGATTCAACCAAAGGGGATGGCAAACACAGGTTGTTTTATGTCCAGCCTTGTAACAGAGCATTGTAATTCTCTAGTACCAAAGGCCTGCCCAAACCTGGACTGTACAAGCTCAACACACAACAGGCAAGAACCAGAAATATTGCAACAGCACCAAAGGGGATGGCAAACACAGGTTGTTTTATGTCCAGCCTCGTGAACAGAGCATTGTAATTCTCTAGTACCAAAGGCCTGCCCAAACCTGGACTGTACAAGCTCAACACACAACAGGCAAGAACCAGAAATATTGCAACAGCCCAGCGCAGGAAAAACCACGTATTGAGACACCTGCCACATCAGCGAGCCCCTTTGGAATGATCTCTCTGTAGGAAGAAAATGTTCTATCATTTCCTTCCTGCCTCTTATTCACTTTTAAGCAACGCAGGAGGAACTGTTGGCAGAGAAAAGCAAGAAAGAAGCAGCAGTCACCAGCAGATAACCTGAGCGCTCCATGAGGGGACGGTTTAGCATCTGCCTCGGTCATTTCAGAACCTGCTGTTAGAAACAGACACGTTGCCAAAAAGCACCAACCCCACCAGCAGCTACACAGAAATCCCCAGAGCCAGAAACTGTAACTTCCCACTCATTCACAGTGGTGTAAATATCAAGCACAAACATGTCAAACTGATCAGAGCGCAAAAAAATGATGCATTTTGTCAGTCACCTGCATGAAGTAAAATGAAGTAGTTGCAGGAAGGGAGAAGAATGATTTCCTTTAAGTAGGAGTTTATTTAAAAATAATTTGATCCTATTTTGAGAGATAAAATAATTTGCTTTTCAGAAATGTTGCAATAAACATGGCTGTGTCTGCAGAGTTGGGAGAGGGAAAACCAGAATAAAGCTACAAAAGAAAGGGGAGTCCACTCCCAGAGAATATTATTTAACATTAACCCTGCTCCACTTCATGCCAGTTTGATGATGTGTAAGGGCTGTTGGGGAACTCAGCAGATGAGTAAGCAGAATCTAAGGAAATCAACTTAAATTTCTCATCAGCTTTTTACAAGAGTTAGAACAGGAGAGAAGGAGAAAAGATGGAACTCTGACCATCACTATTTCAGCTTGTTAATGTGCACGTAGGAGGAAGCCACCAAGTAAGGGAGGGGGTGACAAATACTCCAACTCATAGAATCACAGAATGGTTTGGGTTTGAAGGGACTTTAAAGATCATTTAGTTCCAACTCCCTGCCCTGAGCAGGGACACCTCCCACCACACCAGGTTGCTCCAAGCCCCCTCCAACCTGGCCTTGAACCCCTCCAGGGATGGGGCAGCCACAGCTTCTCTGGCCAACCTGGGCCAGGCTCTCACCACCCTCACAGTGAAGAATTTCTTCCTAATATCATAGAATCATAGAATGGTTTGGGTTGGAAGGGACCTCAAAGATCATCGAGTTCCAACCCCCCTGCCCTGGGCAGGGACACCTCCCACTAGAGCAGATTGATCTCAACCCAAAAACAGTTTAAAAGGCAAAAATTGCCTTGTTCCAAAGCATATTAAATAGTTCCAGCTGATATTTAAGGATGTTTCCTGAAGATGGAACAGCAGGTGATCTCTCCAGGCTTGCGGGACGCCTGAGCAGCCACTGCAGTGGCAGCAACGCTCCGAGGTGGCCATCAGGTGGGCAGACAGCCTCAGAGCACCTGGAATGCAGCACCCGAAGGGCTACACAAGTTCAGTGTCTACAGAGCACGTTTCTAAAGCCAAACAAAGTGTTTCAGCTCCGGCAGGCACCTCCCCTTAATTATTATCCCCCTACATTCTGCACTACAGGCTGGGTCAGCCTTCAGCGTGGAACTCACACAAGGGGCTCTGCTGGCAAAGGAAATTCAGGTACGAACACACTAAATTTATTTACAGGATCATTTCATAACACAGAAAAAAATTTTGTTTTTTCTGAGGTAGATATCAAAGCATATTAAATAGTTCCAGCTGATATTTAAGGATGTTTCCTGAAGATGGAACAGCAGGTGATCTCTCCAGGCTTGCGGGACGCCTGAGCAGCCACTGCAGTGGCAGCAACGCTCCGAGGTGGCCATCAGGTGGGCAGACAGAATATCTACTTTTCTAATATCTACTAAGCAACTCTTGCGAGATAACCCTGTTAAATCCAAAAACAGTTTAAAAGGCAAAAATTGCCTTGTTCTAAAGCATATTAAATAGTTCCAACTGATATTTATGGATGTTTCCAGAAGATGGAACAGCAGGTGATCTCTCCAGGCTTGCGGGACGCCTGAGCAGCCACTGCAGCAGCAGCAGCGCTCCGAGGTGGCCATCAGGTGGGCAGACAGCCTCAGAGCACCTGGAATGCAGCACCCGAAGGGCTACGCAAGTTTGGTGTCTACAGAGCATGTTTCTAAAGCCAAACAAAGTGTTTCAGCTCCGGCAGGCACCTCCCCTTAATTATTATCCCCCTACATTCTGCACTACAGGCTGGGTCAGCCTTCAGCGTGGAACTCACACAAGGGGCTCTGCTGGCAAAGGAAATTCAGGTACGAACACACTAAATTTATTTACAGGATCATTTCATAACACAGAAAAAAATTTTGTTTTTTCTGAGGTAGATATGTCTCTCATGCCACTGCAGAGCTGTCCAGTTTTGTGCCTCCTACCACAAAAAAAAGGACATTGAGGGGCTGGAGCGTGTCCAGAGAAGGGCAACGGAGCTGGGGAGGGGTCTGGAGCAAAAGGAGAAGGGTCTGGAGAACTTCTGAGGGAGCTGGGGGTGTTGAGCCTGGAGAAAAGGAGGCTGAGGGGAGACAACCTCATCTCTACAACTCCCTGAAAGGAGGGTGTAGCCGGGGGGCAGTTGGTCTCTTCTCCCAAGGAACAGGCCATGGGACAAGAGGAAATGGCCTCAAGTTGTACCAGGGGAGGATCAGATTGGATATTAGGAAAAATTTTGACACCGAAAGTGTTCTCAAGCCTTGGAATGGGCTGCCCAGGGCAGTGGTTGAGGCACCGTCCCTGAAGGTATTAAAAAGAGAGGTTGACATAGTGCTTAGTGACATGGTTTAGTGATGGGTTTTATCAGAGTTAGGTTGATGATAGGACTAGATGAACTTAAAGGTCCCTTCCAACCTGGACAATTCTATGGTTCTATGATTCTCAGGCCAGGTGCTGCTAAAGACACTCAGAATATCTTGCAAGGCAATGTTACTGTCACAGATTTAACGTGTGACCAGTTGGGGTTAAAACAGAGTGGTGGATCCCACCAGAATGGCCATGTACCTAAACGGGGTCTACAGGAGAGCTGGGGAGGGACACTTGATGAGGGAGAGGAGCCATAGGAGGAGGGGGAAGGATTTGACACAGAGAGGGGAGATGGAGCTGAGATGTGGGGAAGAACTTGTTTGGTGTGAGGGTGGTGAGAGCCTGGCCCAGGTTGGGCAGAGAAGCTGTGGCTGCCCCATCCCTGGAGGGGTTCAAGGCCAGGTTGGAGGGGGCTTGGAGCAACCTGGTCTGGTGGGAGGTGTCCCTGCCCAGGACAGGAGGTTGGAATTAGATGATCTTTAAGGTCCCTTCCAACCCAAACCACTCTATGATTCTATGTCAGTCCTGGTGATCACATTAGAGATGAGCAGAGCTGCAATTGAACCCCTTTCTGCAAACTAAAACACAGCTCTTAGGTTCCAGAAGAGATGCCCCCCCAAAAAAGACCCCAAGCTGGGCAACTTCTGGACAGCATGTGTTCTCACCACGCTCGGTGGAGACAGATGGAGGTGTCAGAGTGCAGGGGTTCCAGAAGAAATGACCCCCAAAAAAGATCCCAAGCTGGGCAACCTCTGGACAGCACGTGGTCTTACCACGCTTGGTGGAGACAGATGGAGGTGTCAGAGTGCAGACCATGAAGGTATTCAGAAGACAGGTAGACATAGTGCTTAGTGACATGGTTTAGTGATGGGTTTTATCAGAGTTAGGTTGATGATAGGACTAGATGAACTTAAAGGTCCCTTCCAACCTGGACAATTCTATGATTTTATGATTCTCAGGCCAGGTGCTGCTAAAGACACTCAGAATATCTTGCAAGGCAATGTTACTGTCACAGATTTAACGTGTGACCAGTTGGGGTTAAAACAGAGTGGTGAGCGACCCAAATTCCCTGCTGGGCTCCCCAGCAGCTGGGGTCCCTCCTCTCTGGCATCAGAGAGGTCCATCCTCCAGTCTGGCAAGTCCCAGCTTGGTCCCAGGTGAAAGTCACATATTTCAGTGCAGAGTTGTTGTTAAAATCCCATAATTATGCATTTTATCCTCCAAATACACTGAAAAACTCTCAAGTACACCCAGACTTTAAATAACTGACTGCAACCAAGGTGGCAGGGGAGAAGAGACTGGGTACAGCGCCACGAACCCCCCTTGGACACCTCAACTACAGCATCAGGAGATCAAGGTTTTCCCCAGGATTAACAAGCAACCCTGATGGGCAAGAAATTGTAAATCCAGAGTCACTGGCAGCTTCGTGGAACAGCCCCCCTGAGGAACAGCAGGGACCACAGCAGGGCAGAGCTATTGCTTTCGTGATCAAACTTGAGACACGGAGTCTACATAAGGGGAAGTTTCATTAAGTTAATTGGAGGTGAACCAAGTAACACACAGAGGATTGCGCTTCTATGGGTGATTTCCAGAAATGAGTGGAGGGTCAGAGTCAAAAATCCTTGGGGTCTAAGGCAGGCCTTTAACTCCTGAGCAGATCTCAGCTGCTCTATGTGTCGTTTCTCCCTACGTCAGAGGTGAAAGAGCATAAAAACCACTGTATTTTTTGTGTTTAACAAAGATGCAGCTACTGGGTCGGTGGAAGCTGGTAGATGACAACAAAAGTAGCATCCAATGACAGGTTTTCTCTAGGCAGCTGCTCTGGGAGACAGGACAGGGTAATGGACAGAGCTCTGGGTGACCCTACAGAGCCAGGTTTTGTTAATCAGTAACGAATCACCCAAGTGCTACCCAGGATGGGTGCAGCAAGCGCTGCTGCATACTGCTCCAATGATACTGTGCTTCTGAAAACAGAATAAAAACATTGCCTTTTGGGCAAAACATTTGCTCTGGAGAAGTGAGGAAGGGCCACGCTGGGCTCTCGGACAAGCTTTGGGCTGAATGTGCCAGCCCATGCCATTAACTACAGTCAAAAGTCCAGGGGTGCCCACCTGACCCTCCTGCAACCACCACTTGGGACTGAAAAGCTCGTGTGCTGGAAGGGAAGGGGGAAATTAAAAAACCTGCAGGAGCTGGGGTTGGAAAATTCATTGGCAAAGTGCACGGGATGCTCAGTGTGGTGGTGGAACTTCACAGGGTGGGTCAAGCTTGAAAAATTCCTTTAGATAAAGTCTGATGAGGATTCTGACAAGTCTGTGAGTGCTTATTTATCGCTGCTTTTTTTCTACTAGCGAGGTAGATGCACTACAAGGCTGTCCTGGCTTCAGCTGAGATAAAGTTAATTTTCTTCCTAGTAGCTGCTGTGTTTTGGATTTAGTAGGAGAATAATGCTGATAACATATTGTTTTAGTTGTTGCTAAGTAATGCTTATATTAAGCCAAGGACTTTTTCAGCTTCCTGCAGAAGCCTGAGAGGGAGCACAGACGGGCCAAAGGAATATTTTATACCATAGAAATCACGCTCAGTGTATAAAATAGGGGTTGGCCAGGGGAGCAAGAATCTGTGATTGCTGCTCGGGATGAGCTGGGTGATCACTGGACAGTGAGCAACTGTATGACATCACTTACTTTGTATATTCTTTCATCATTGTTATTATTTTTAGTTTCTTTTCTGTTCCTGTTCTATTAAACTTTATCTCAGCCTGTAAGTTGGGTTGGGTTTGGTTTTTTTTCCTATTTCTCCTTCTTCTCCCTACCCTACCTGGGAGGGGAGTAACTGAATGGTTCCTAGTTGCCAACTGGGGTTAAACCACGACAAAGGCCAACCTGGAGGACATTTGGCAGGGCCTTCACTGGAAGGAGTTTATGATTCCAAAATACTTTCCCAGTCCAGATATGCCAGGATCCTTTGTGACATCTCCTTGGGAGAGGCAGAGTACTCAGTGCCCTGGTTACACAGAAGGAGGGAGTCCTTACCGTAGCAAACGTGTCTGCTGCCTCTTGCGGATCGACGGGTTGGATTCAAAAACGTGTGGTCGCTTCCGTTTCTTACCCGTTGCCACGGCAGCAGCTGCTGCCATCCCCACAGGGCCTGGAAATCAAACCACAAAGGGTTAATAGGCACACGCAGCTCAGGAACTGGTCAGGAAGGACATTGCCATTGCCCCCCTCCTCCCTCCCACCAAGGGATGGGTCCCAAGGACCACCCCACTGGACCACAGTGACCCAAATTCCCTGCTGGGCTCCCTGGCAGTTGGGGTCTCTCCTCTCTGGCATCAGAGAGGTCCATCCTTCAGTCTGGCAAGTCCCAGCTCGGTCCCAGGTGAAAGTCACATATTTCAGTGCAGAGTTGTTGTTAAAATCCCATAATTATGCATTTTATCCTCCAAATACACTGAAAAACTCTCAAGTACACCCAGACTTTAAATAACTGACTGCAACCAAGGTGGCAGGGGAGAAGAGACTGGGTACAGCGCCACGAACCCCCCTTGGACACCTCAACTACAGCATCAGGAGATCAAGGTTTTCCCCAGGATTAACAAGCAACCCTGATGGGCAAGAAATTGTAAATCCAGAGTCACTGGCAGCTTCGTGGAACAGCCCCCCTGAGGAACAGCAGGGACCACAGCAGGGCAGAGCTATTGCTTTCGTGATCAAACTTGAGACACGGAGTCTACATAAGGGGAAGTTTCATTAAGTTAATTGGAGGTGAACCAAGTAACACACAGAGGATTGCGCTTCTATGGGTGATTTCCAGAAATGAGTGGAGGGTCAGAGTCAAAAATCCTTGGGGTCTAAGGCAGGCCTTTAACTCCTGAGCAGATCTCAGCTGCTCTATGTGTCGTTTCTCCCTACGTCAGAGGTGAAAGAGCATAAAAACCACTGTATTTTTTGTGTTTAACAAAGATGCAGCTACTGGGTCGGTGGAAGCTGGTAGATGACAACAAAAGTAGCATCCAATGACAGGTTTTCTCTAGGCAGCTGCTCTGGGAGACAGGACAGGGTAATGGACAGAGCTCTGGGTGACCCTACAGAGCCAGGTTTTGTTAATCAGTAACGAATCACCCAAGTGCTACCCAGGATGGGTGCAGCAAGCGCTGCTGCATACTGCTCCAATGATACTGTGCTTCTGAAAACAGAATAAAAACATTGCCTTTTGGGCAAAACATTTGCTCTGGAGAAGTGAGGAAGGGCCACGCTGGGCTCTCGGACAAGCTTTGGGCTGAATGTGCCAGCCCATGCCATTAACTACAGTCAAAAGTCCAGGGGTGCCCACCTGACCCTCCTGCAACCACCGCTTGGGACTGAAAAGCTCGTGTGCTGGAAGGGAAAGGGGAAATTAAAAAACCTGCAGGAGCTGGGGTTGGAAAATTCATTGGCAAAGGGCACAGGATGCTCAGTGTGGTGGCAGAACTTCACAGGGTGGGTCAAGCACATCAAGAGCTTGAAAGATTCCTTTAGATAAAGTCTAATGAGGATTCAGACAAGTCTGTGAGTGCTTATTTATCGCTGTTTTTTTTCTGCTAGCGAGGTAGATGCACTACAAGGCTGTGCTGGCTTCAGCTGAGATAAAGTTAATTTTCTTCCTAGTAGCTGCTGTGTTTTGGATTTAGTAGGAGAATAATGCTGATAACATATTGTTTTAGTTGTTGCTAAGTAATGCTTATATTAAGCCAAGGACTTTTTCAGCTTCCTGCAGAAGCCTGAGAGGGAGCACAGACGGGCCAAAGGAATATTTTATACCATAGAAATCATGCTCAGTGTATAAAATAGGGGTTGGCCGGGGGGACAAGAATCTTTGATTGCTGCTCGGGATGAGCTGGGTGATCACTGGACAGTGAGCAACTGTATGACATCACTTACTTTGTATATTCTTTCATCATTGTTATTATTTTTAGTTTCTTTTCTGTTCCTGTTCTATTAAACTTTATCTCAGCCTGTAAGTTGGGTTTGGTTTTTTTTCCTATTTCTCCTTCTTCTCCCTACCCTACCTGGGAGGGGAGTAACTGAATGGTTCCTAGTTGCCAACTGGGGTTAAACCACGACAAAGGCCAACCTGGAGGACATTTGGCAGGGCCTTCACTGGAAGGAGTTTATGATTCCAAAATACTTTCCCAGTCCAGATATGCCAGGATCCTTTGTGACATCTCCTTGGGAGAGGCAGAGTACTCAGTGCCCTGGTTACACAGAGCACTCTGGGTTATTTTTGCTGTTGTTTATATGGGCCTGAAATAAACTGCTCTTTGACATTATTTTAGTTTTGTTATTTGAGGCAGCATTTACCAGGGACTGTTTTTCTTGCACAAACCAGTCTCGTACTCCTAGCACCTCTATATTGCACACGGATAACCCGATGCAAGATACAAGCAGCAGCAGCAGACCCTGAAAAGAAGCACTAATTAAGCCAGGGCAATATGGAAGGATTCAGAGCATCCTGTGGGGTGACAACATAGAATCATTCAGGTTGGAAGAGACCCTTGGGATCATCGAGTCCAACCATCTACCCTACTCTACAAAGTCCTCCCCTACACTATATCCCTCAGTACCCCATCTAAACGTCCCTTAAACACAGCCAGGGATGGCGACTCAACCACCTCCCTGGGCAGCCTGTTCCAGTGTCTGACCACTCTTTCTGTGAAAAATTCCTTCCTAATGTTCAGTCTAAACCTACCCTGTTGGAGCTTGGAGCCGTTCCCTCTTGTTCTGTCGTTAATTACCTGTGAGAAGAGACCAGCACCAACCTCTCTACAGTGTCCTTTCAAGTAGTTGTAGAGAGTGATGAGGTCTCCCCTCAGCCTCCTCTTCCTCATACTAAACAGCCCCAGCTCCTTCAGCC